TGCTATGCAAGCTCGATATTCAGAATGCTTATGATCATGTGAACTGGAGGTTCTTTCTATATATGCTTAGGAGATGTGGATTTGGGGATGAGTGGTGTAAATGGATTCAGTTCTGTATCTCTACTGTTTTATTTTCAGTTTTAGTCAACAGTACCCCCGAGGGTTACTTTTGGAGTAGCAGAGGGTAGAGGCAAGGGGATCTATTGTCTTCATTACTGTTTGTTATTGTAATGAAAGCCCTCAGTAAGATGCTCAAGAAAGCGAGGCGGGAGAATCTGCTTGCAGGATTTACGGTTGGTCAACTACAGGTGTCTCACTTGTTATTTGCAGATAACACACTGATTTTTTGTAAAGCGGTTGAGGAGCAAATTAGGAATTTATGCAAGTTGCACTTATGCTTTGAAGCGGTATCAGGATTGAAGGTTAATCTGAGGAAATCTGAGGTTAGGGCTGGACAAACTCCCCAACCAAACCGAGCCCGAACTGAGCGGTTCTTCGTCATAAGTTAAATACCCGAACAAATATCTGAATCGAGAACCAACAGATTTAGTTCAGTTCTCGATTCTAGACCCAGAACCGAGAGCGACTGATATTAAATAATTTTTTTAATTTTTTATATTGAATTAATTAATTTTTTAAAATTTTTCTAAACAAATTAACTAATTTAGTGATTAATGTTCCAACTCCCAAGTCAAGTCCATGCCTAGACAGCCCAGCCCAGCCCAATTTCTAAATTCAATTTTTTGATCTTATTATTAATTTCATTCTTAGCCCTAGATCTAGGCCTTTTAAAGTTTTTATCATTCTCTTTCCAATTTCACACATTTCATTCGGTAACCACTGAGCCACTGACCCCAAATCATTTGATAAATTGAAAACCTGCATCTACATGCACAAATCGAATCAGCCGACCGCCAAGTCCGACTTCCCCTCTCCAATGCACAATGAAGTCGCGACCTCCAACCACGACCACCGATTGTTGACCATTAGAAATCCGTTAAAAAATTTAATTATGGTACGGAACCGAACCTGAACGGTTCCATAATTATATTTGGACCCGACGGTTCCATTTATTAAATACCCGAAAATTTTGGTTCGGCTCGGTTCGGTTCTCGGACCATGTCCAGCCTATCTGAGGTTATTCCAATACGGAAGGTCACTAATATAGAGAAACTAGCTATTATATTGGGTTGTAGGGTTGCGCAGTTACCTATGTCATATCTCGGACTCCCTTTAGGGGCGCGGTTTAAAAGTATTAATATTTAGAATGCTATTGTGGAAGAGGTAGAAAGGAGGTTAGCGGGATGGAAGCGTAAGTATCTCTCAAAGGATGGCCGTCTTACTGTCGTTAAATCTAATCTATCAAATATCCCTACTTATTTCATGCACTGTTTCTATTCTTGCTGCAGTGGCTAACAGATTAAAGAGGATTCAAAGGGAATTTCTTTGGGTAGGGCTAGGAGATGAGATGAAACTTCATTTGGTTAAATGGAGAGTTGTCCGCTCTCCTATGAGGATGGGGGCCTCGAAATGAGGAGGCTTACTTTGCTTAAGAAATGCATTATTAGGTAAATGGTTGTGGCGGTTTGATGTGGAGAGGAAGAGTTTCTGGAGAGAAATCATTAGGGCGAAGTATGATGGAGGAGGGATGGTATTCAGATGAAGGTCGTGGGTGTTACGGGGTGAGTCTATGGAGTTATATTCGACGAGGATGGAACGACTTTAGGAATAGCTTGACTTTTGTGGTGGGGAATGATAATAATATCAGATTTTGGGATAATTGTTGGTGTGGAGATATACTGCTAAAGTTGGGGTTTCCTTCCTTGCATCACATTACTATGATGGCTTCTACTATCGTGAATGACATTTCAACCATCCATAATGGGAGTTAAAAATGGAATATCACTGTTCAGAGGGGTTTGCAGGATTGAGA